TAGGTCCAGTCCTAATTTATATCTAAAATGGTCTATTCTGCTCTGCTTTGAAGCTTAGAAGAGCTCTGTGGGGCATGCCTAAATCGTGCAATGAAAAGTGATAAAGGAGGGATGTGAAAGAGTAAAATCAAATTTTTTGCATCCAGATATTTTCATGAATTTTGTTCTGCTATGCAGGAGAAAACTTAATGCAGATAAGTTTTTTTGTGTGCATTCAGCTTAACCATAAGATATTGCCTTAAACTGCATTGGTGCACAGAAATGTTATTATTCATTAATATGGTGATGCTTTAAGAAACTCTTTGTCTTTAGTTTATTATTTTGAGTAATGGATGTTGTGCTATAAACATCCTGGAGCTCATGAGGCGTATTAAACATTCTTAAGTGATTATAAAGTCAGGATTTGTAATGGAGACCGTGAAGTTGGTTTGGATATAAATCCCAAGCAATCAAAGGTGTTGCATATCCATCCATGCAAGCACAAACACACACACGTAAACGGTTGCACAACTTACTTGCTAGTTTAGCTTGTAATCCAGATGGCCCAGGTTTGGAGGTCTCAGTTTTGGAAGTTCCAGGTAAGGAAAGTTTGGGTTTTGGCAAGTTAACTTTGGGGTTAAAGCGTGTTGCCCACTCAAATTTTGAAGAGCTGGCAGTTTTGGCCTGCTCCTTGTCTCGTGTACTGCGGCGTGGGGAGGGACTGGATGCTGATCTGGAACGACGAGCCTTTGTCTGATCTTTTCCCTGCTTCAAACGAGCGCCTTGCGTAGCAGCACTGTTGGTGCCTGTGGTAGAAGAAGAGGAGGAAGAGGAGGCAGAAGAGGACGAGTCTGTCACGTTGCTACACCCAGCTTTGGCTGAGGCGGCCGATTTAGACGCCAGCTTGGTTGGTTTTGCAGTTCTGCCTTCGGTACAATTGGGTAGAGACCCAGTGGTGCTACTTAGACCTGGGAAAGAGTCAGATTTTTTCCGTTTTGGAACTGGAGAGGCAGCACTCTTCTTGCTCTGACTTCGACCTGTCGATGCAGGAGCCTCTGAAGCAGCCTGTCTCTTCTTGGACTTAGCTGGACCTTTCTTGGTCTCTGAGGTATTGCTTTTGGATGTTGGAACCAATTTGGGCTTCTTGGCAGGGGTGGGTCCAAGGACACTAATTTGGTCAAGAGCTTCACTTCGTTTAAGCCCTCGGGTGCCCTCACTCTTTGACTGGTGGCCTGGTCGTTCCTGTTCAGATGTTCCTGCAGCCTCTGGGTCGTCTTGTAACACAAACGAAGCCACGGATAGGGTAAGACCGCTTCTGTAAGGTTGGAAAGAAAAAGAAATATCCAATGTCTTGGGGAATTCAGGAAATCAGATAGAAAATATGCCTATTCAATATTGTAAACTAATGTGTAAAATACACATGACACAGATGACTGTAGCCCAAACCTTGATAGACACACATACTATGTACCAAGTAGGAAATAGGGGTACCTTCTTGAGCTGTGCCCTCTGGACTGGCCAGTGGCTGAGCTGGCAGAGGCTTTGGGAGCCTTAGAATTAGGTCTTCTACTTTCAGGTGGGGAATTTGGTTTATGTTTTACCTGCTCTGACTGCAATCTGTAAGGTTGGACATTAAAAGAGCAAGGAACATTGTGGGTTTCTAGAAAAAGCCCATATGAAAGAGTTGATTAATCCCTAAAATGTTTTAATAAAGAGAGAAATGCCAATTCCTATAGTCACCCGACTCCTCTGGAGTAACATCAAAAACAGCTTAAACCAGACTTGATCACATCCAACTAAAAAAAGGAGCGACATGTCTTGTAGCAAAAGTACATTCACTTCTGGGTAAAATGTTCTACTGTGATCACTGAAGTAAAACTCTAAACATCCCTCTTCACAGTAGATTTAATGAGAAAAAAGAAAAATGGGGGATTTTTATAGATTCTGAAAGCAGACAGAAAACGTACAAAAAGGACTTACCTTCCAGCTACTGTGTGGTCTTGTGGCTGGGCCGCAGCAGTGTTCCTCTGTGAACGGCGCAGTGACCCCCCTGGATTGGAATTAGGCCGGTTGGACATTGGCACCTCTCTCCTGAAGGGACATACCCTTTCTAGACACAACCATTCACTACAACAAAACAAAGTGAGTAGAAAACAGTAAAATAAAAATGTGAAGTAAAATAAACAGGCATATTTGTAGAATTATGCTAGAGCTCCCTTTTATTTCAGATTCCCTACTTTATAAAAAAAAAAACATCTTGATTAAAATGCATGTAAGCTTGTAAAAAAAAAAGAAAAGAAAAGGAAAACTAATCCAATTAGTGATAAAGGGACTGTTGTCAACAAATAAACCTCATGTTCATAGCCACAAAACCACAGGTGATGTAATCAAAATCTTTTATCTAAGACCAGAAACGATTCATTCACTGTAATTCACATTGCTTTGATGCAAAAGTTAATTAAATCAACTGAAACTCTTCAAGTAGAAACCCTATTCATGCCAATTTCTTTAGTACATCTTTTCAATGTACCATAAAATTATTTCATGATTATTTAATTAAAGCCAAAATGCTATATTTTCTAGGGCATGTTGTCCACAGCACACATTAACATATCCTGCTGGATTTATTATTTGTAAATAAAATGATATGTTACAATCTAAATGCTTTTGGCTATGGAAAATGCATCCAAGTATTGCCAAATTAAGTAACTGAAGACATGATATAATGAATCTGATGACAAATACGCCACATTCCCCAAGCTCTCAGGGCCACGTTAGGCCTGCACTGACAGTGCATCCTTGTCTTTGTTATTTGAGCCCTCCTGACAACTGCCATGTCCACTGGCCAGTAATGTGATTACCATTTCACACCAAGTATCTCACATTTTTAATCGCCATATCATCTTTGTTCTTTTTTTATGCATAAAACGTAAAAAACTGTGTCCTGTTTTGCACCTACGATTTCCATAAGGCCCGTGTTTCTGACGTAGTTGTTTAGCATCACCGAGCAACGTTAGCATGTCGAGCCACTCATTCCTCATCATCTCACACGTTTTGACAGCAGCCGATTCGCTTTGTATAGTTGCCCGAGAAAAGTTAACATCCTAACTGCGAAATCCACAATCCGTAAAGTATCCCAAGAAGAAAAACGCTCTCCTGAACAAATGAAACTATGAAAGTTGCTCTGGCTAATGTAGCACTGTTGCATTGAACTGCGTAGTTTGAGTACCGGTCTGTCAACCTATTTAGCCACTTATCTCATGGGTATATTTTAACGGTTATCTCGGTTGTTAGTTGTTATGTAAAAGTATTATAATGTACTATTTAAACACTGGCTAGATAGCCTCGCGAAAGAGAAAATAACTACTTGAGGTAAGCTAGGTACCAAAAAAAATGGCAGCATCGGATGGATCGTCATTCAAAAGCGGTTTGATTTAATAAAGCTATGTGGCTAGCTAGGTGGGTATTCGGGCTATTATGACACACAAGTATGGATGACAATTTTAAAGACAGCGAAAATAGATTTGATGGACCAAAATGCGGCAACCTACCTTTATGATGCTTGGCAGCGAAATACTACACTGAATACGCGATTGACAGGGCCAAAAAAACTCAAATATAACGACACATTCTTATTAACACTGTCAAACTAGTTGTCGTGTACATCCGTACTGCTAGTCACCTTTAACTAAATATGATAGCCTAACCGATGTTTTCTTATCCTACTAAAGGCCAAGGGTTTCCTCTCACTGCAGCAATGTCCGGGGCTGTAGCTAATGCTAGCGTAGAGAAAACAAGTTGTACAAAAACGTGTTAACAAAACACACTGCTCTTCGTTAGAGTTTAAGAAAATAGGACCAAAAAAAGCCGAAAAATACTAATATTGGGGCCAAACTGACAAACGTCGATGCTAGTTAATTATTAGCAAGCTAATATGAGCTTAGCCATGCAACATAGCTCCCCCCAATGACCGTTCGTTGGTAAGCTCACAAAGTAGAAAAAATCTGTTTATACGTTGTTGTTTGTTATCAAAAATGAAAGTTCTCAGACTTATGAAATACTAACCTTATCAAAACAGAATTAGCCTCCGCGGGACAGTCACGTAGGTTACGTTAAAGCGACGTTAAATCACCCAAGAGCGTTGTAGCAGCTAACCTTGGTATGCTAATCAATAAGAGCTTCCCTTGTTGTCACTGGCTAGCGCTTTGCCAGCTCAACAGGATGGGATTCACAAATAAGGGTATCAATACACTTCATAAAACTCTGATTTTCTCATTTAAAACATTTAACTCCAACTATATTAACTCAGAAAAACAAAAAAAGGGAAGCACGACCTCGCTATGTTGCAAAAAAAAAAAAAAAAGAAATGGCCACTGATACATTTTAGACACAAAAAACAGGAAAGCAGGAAGGGGGTTCGGGATAATTCTACGGCAACGAATCACAATTCTACTGATACGAATCTACATTGAATCATTTCAAATGTCTACTGACTGAGATGTCACTGAAAATGTTACCATTTCAAGTATTGTTGTTACCTATTTGTTCCAGTGTTGTAGTTGTAACAGACTGCACTGCTCCTCTTTTCTCTCTCTACCCAGCTAGCTTTGCATCAGCTGAGCGGCCTACAACTGCAATAAACATCCGCGTTATCCATCCGCTAGGGAACTATATGCATTTTCATCTGCTGTATGCGAGTCGAGAGAAAAGTGCATCGCATACAGCCGCAGGCTTTCAGTTAAAAAAATCGTTTACTTTTGAAGAATACAGAGTGTTTTTTTAAACACACGCGCCCGAATTTCGTTAAACACTGGTAACATTACCTTGTCACAAATATACAGTATCAATCCGCTGGGTCGTGACCCCCCCTTTCATACAACTCTATTCATATTTTTTACCTGCTCGCAATTACTATTATCTTACCTTTCACCCATACAAAACGCATTTTAAACTCGTTCCTCCTCTGATTAATTTATTTGCCCATTGCTTTTCTAGTTGTCATGGTTACAGTTGCGTCCGAAATGGTGTCGTTGAGGGTGAAACAACTGTTTGAAATTAGTGGTCAAGGTCTACCGCCTTCTAAAGATTTTTACCAACTTGTAATTACCAGAAATGAGGTACAGTAATTGTGTCCTTTTTTCAGTATTAACCCAGAAAAGCTCTTGCCTGAATCCTTTCATTCTTTACATATCTTACAATTAAAATGTCAGTGATTTGCTTGATTCTTTAAGTATGTTTATTTTAGGGCTGACACAATTAAATCGGGTTAATCGATTATTGAAATAATGTTAAACTCATTTAGTAATTAATTAATCGTTAAATGGAGTATAAAGACTGTAAAACATGCCTTTAGCTGACAGAGCGGCCCACTTAGAGCAGTAATTATACCAACATTGTAAATAAATATATAAACATTTTGCATTTGAGATTTTAAAAGATCTTTTTCGTCAATATGCTCTATCGAGAACTCCTCAGGGGGAAAAGTTTTAGGTTCACCTGATATAATTCTGTAAAAAGTCTTTTTTGAGGAACAATTTGGGTATCTGATTATATACAGATTAATTTAGCAAAATAATCGTTAGTTGCAGCCCTAGTTTATTTGTTTATTCATGTGTTTTAATTTAAGGTTATATGGACATTGTTGACAATTTCTCCTCAATGTGAATATCGAGGTGATCTTCCAAAACCAGAGTATACTTGTTAATCTCCTTACACAACATTTTGGGTAAAAATACTATCAGTCTGACTGTATCTATTCATTGTAAGGAACAAAAATCTTACATTAAGACACAATTAAAATTGTACAGTATCACTGAAATAGAAACATTTCTGCAAATTCCCATGGAATAGGTGTAATTAAAAATTAAAACAAGTGAAAAGTAAACACTTTGATCTTTCAATTGATCAGAGCTTTGAGGATTTTGCATTTTGTAAAACCTAACTTTCTTTTTCATTATTCTATAAATATGACATTATTACAGAAGCCTATTTCTCATAGTAGCAAAGAAAAACCAGAAAGTGTCCTCTTTAACAGCAGAATTGTTTTAATCTTTCTTAAGTCTGAAAATAGTTAGTTATTACATTCAACCACTGTTGTAGTTGTAGCAGTAATATGCAATTGAAAACAAAAGAACAGTGACAAACAAGGCCAAAGGCCTGAAGTCATCTTGCCACCAGGTATAGGAATAAGGAATTTAAGCGAGGAAGATAAAGCACTCATTTTACCGTCAGATAACTAGATAAAATGTCAATATAGGATTGTCCTACCCAAATAAAAATGATTTGATTCTAAGCTTTTTATACATCCTAAATGTCAAAAATATGAAGATCAATGTTTTATTATCAAAGTGTTTGCTAGAAAGCTGTTAGAAGAAACATAACATATCTGCATAATGTACCTCTGCATAATATATCCTGCAGAAAGAAAAAAAAACACATTTCTTTTTTTCAAATTCTGCTACCTTTTACATATTTTGTACATTTAACATCACAAAGGTATGTATAAAAACAGACTACTACTAGCAGTACACTGAAAAGTAAATTCTGCTCCCTACTTTTGATTATTTATGTACATTTTCAAGAATATACAAAGCTATGATATGGTACCTCCTTTATAGATGACATTGGCACCATTTTTTGGTGAGGGGAATTACGACTAATCCAAACGTTTATCTAATGACGTACTGCTCAGGATTATTTCCTTCCTGCAACTGAAAGATACAACCATTATAGCACAGGTTTCCCATAGTATCCTACAGGTGAGAGATTTGAATAATGTTCACTTTAGATTAATAGGGGTTCTTGGTTTGCTTTCTTTATCTTCTCAATTAATTCATGCTACATTATATCCATCCTAAAGCTATGTTTTCATTTCTTAGGGTCTTTAGCTCTGAAAATCTGACAAGATTTGTGCGCAGATTGTGCTGATTTAAGCAA